CACTGGGTCTGCCAGATTGTCTTATGATGAGATGTTTAGTAGGTTGGGCCTTAACTTATAAGAATTTAGAAGAACAAGAGGTGATTCTATTGAAACATACAAGATTCTTAAAGGATTTGATATGGCATACATGGAGAGATATTACTACTTGTAAGAAAGTCTAGGACCAGAAGGGATAACACCAGAATAAGGGGTTGCATATTTAAGACCGAGATGAGGAGGAATTTCTTCTCTCAAAAGCTAGTGAATCTGTTGAATTCTTTACCACAGAGGGCTGTTAACACTAGGTCATTAAGTGTATTCAAAGCCTTAATGGTCAGATTTTTAACTACTAAGGGAATCAAGGGTTATAAGGAAAAGCAGAAAAGTGGAATTGAGAATTATCGGACCAGCCATAATTTCATTGATGGATTGCGTGGCATACTTCTGCTCCTAAATCTTTATTGGATACTTTTAAAATAAATCTGTGAGAAATCACATGACCGATAACTGGTTGTATTGTTGCAGACACCTGCTGGGGCTGGTTGTGGAGTACTTTGATAGCTGGACTTAGTTTAGCAAAAAAATGTCTGTGAGGAAGTGCTGCCCAGCTGATCTCTCCTATTTCTGCAAGGACCTTCTTGTTGCGTTCATACTGAAACCTATTAGATCTTCTGAAAGAGTAATTCAAGGAACTTCGATAATGTACTTCTTGAGCAAGCTGTGTCTGTTAAGACTTCAGAGACAAACATGCCTGATTATTGACTTGACCACATTTGGTCGAACATCAGAGCATCAGACTTTGGAACACCCTGTAATTTATCCTTTTACACTTCAAGAATAATCCTAATGGGTTTTTATTTAAAGTGAATCTCTGCAGATACAGATTCATTTTTTTCCCTCTTCTGAAGAGAGAAGGTATCTGTATGTATGTTTTCTGTTTATTTGAATGGATGGACATGTATAATGCCATGTTATTGATCGCGTATGTTAATCAGTTATGGCATCATTATTGAATAAGTTTGTTTTTCTGATAAACCAATAATTTTTCACTTATTCAAGAAACCTAATAGATCTTTTTATTTAAATCCTAAAATAGATAAGTTTAATTGGCCATCTCAGTAACTGAGAATTTCATTTATGTTGAGACTGTGTAGCGGGACCAGAATGACAGTGTCCTCCTTCAGCCTTGGTTATAATAGTGATGGGATGGGAAGGTCAAATTTGGGCTTTCCCACCCAGAACTTAATTTGTGCAAATTCGAGAAGGGTTCCACCAGCCTGCTTAATTAATTTCACATGTGGCTTTGGGGCCTGCCACCTCTTGGCCTGGAACTTCAGCTTGAGATAGATTCACTCACCACGGAATTCCACTCTCACCGAACACCTAGTTTTAGTTTTTAAACTCTTGTTCACAAATACTGTACGTGACCACATTATTAACGCTGTTAAATCTTAACCCTGACCAATCTAAAAGCATTTTTTCTTACACATGTTTGTATGCAGTGTTAGTTCTAATCCATGGGTGCTGACCTATATTTTAAATTATCTCTCACCGGTTGATTCGTAAGCACAGGTTTCCTATTTTCAACATCAGCATTGTTTCAAATACGCTCAATGACTTTGACTCTGGGCAAATCCAAGGCCGAAATATCTTCTGCAGATATATTCATGCGGGGCAGTCCTTCTTTCCATGAAGTCCCAAAAACTGCAGTGCAGACACATAAGTTGCTCTACCATGACTTAGTCTGCACTCCTTACTTAAATGTTTAATTCGTGGTATACATGAACTCACACTAAACATTAAAGAACTGGACAAAATTTGAGTCACTTAATGTTAAGATATTTAAGCCACATAAATAGTACAGTCATTGATTCCTTTACTACTTCTCAATTTTAATAACACCCCCTAGTGACTTTTCATGATCTTGTTGAAGGTTTTTGTTTATACATGATTGGCATTTCAAATTGATCACAAGCATTTCCACTTTAGTATTGTTTTATTTGGTTACTATTACACATCATTATACAGGTAAAGGAAACAATAACGCTTGTTCCTGAGGTACGTAATAACACCTCTAACATGTTGGTTAGAAACTATCTACAATGTACAGAAAGCCATTGCACACCATGTTGCCTAGAAATCATGGACATGATTTACAGCTCTCCTTTTGTTATTATTCATTTGTGAATAACCTTATTAAGTATTATTTCTTGCTTTTAAAAAAAAAGAATTAACAAATTTGTTTCTATAGAAAGTGAGTTTGGGGAATTGATAATGAAAAATAAAGAGATGGCAGATGCATTGAACAGGTATTTTATAATGAATGTTCACTGTAGAGGATGCGAGTAATATTCTGGAAGTATTTATAAATCAAGAAATGCAAGAGAGGGAGGAATTCAGTAAAATTATGATTACAATTAAAGTTTTGGAACTGCAGGCTGACAAGTTCCTGCATCCTAATAGATTTCATCGTACGGTCCTAAAAAAGTGGCTAGTGAGATAATTGATGCATTGGTTTCAATTTTCTAAAACTCTCTAGATTTAGGGAAGGTCCTATTAGATTAAAAGATAACATATGTAATTGTTTATTTCAAAAAGGGAGGGAGTCAGAAAGCAGGAAATTACAGACAAGATGCCTCATTATCAGGGGATTCCTTGCCCCGATGTGATATTTCCCTACTGGACAATGACGAGTTGCATGCCTACAATGGGCATTAGAGACAGGATAGCACTGATTTAGAGAGGTTGTTCAGACAAGATGTATCTTAGGACAGATTAATTGTATGGCATGATGGTTAAACGGCACCTAGGTTGAGAGAATGGGGTTGTATGTGTGAGGGTGTATCAGCCATGCTGGCTATGTGCCGTGGCCAGCATGACTTTGTGCCTGCTATGCCATTATATATGTGCCAGTGAGGGGTACTTCCCAAATCTTGATTAGCTGCATTGCAGCCTTTCAAAAATGGCATGCTCACAAGGAATGCTGGTTCTTCCGCCATATGGATGACATTCTAATTCACCGATCCACCGCAGCTGAATGTGATGGAAGAGTGACAGCAATATTTAAATACATTTTGATTCATGATGAGTTGGTTCAGGAAAAGTGTGTGGTAAGATGGGGTTGAAATTGGACCTAAGGGATGCCATAGAGCATAATAGGTAATTAAAAAGGTGAGTTTGTTCAGATACAATGAGGGTACTTATTACATTTTGTAGCAAATAACCCTCCAAAATCTTGCACAGCCCTGACATAGCCAAAAAAAAATCAGCCCATGTTATTTAAATAGTGAGAGATTGCAGAGCTCTGATATGCAGAGGGATCTGCGTGTCCTACTGCATGAACTACAGAAGGTTAGTATGCAGGTACAGCAAGTAATTAAGAAATTTAATGGAATGTTATAATTTATTCCATTCACTTACACACGACATTGGTGAAACCACATCTGGAGTCCTGTATACAGAACTGGTTACTTCATTTATGGAACGCTGTAGAATCCATTGGAAGCAGATCAAAAAAGGTTTACCAAACTAATACTTGGAACAGGCAGGCAGGTTGTCTTATGAGTAAAGGTTGGACAAGTTAGGCTTGCATCAACTGGAGTTTAGACGAGTAAGAGGCAACTTAATTGAAACATATAAGATTCTGGGGGGTCTTGATAGAGTAGATGTGGAGAAGATGCTGCCTTAAACAGGAGAATCTAGGCCAAGGGGGTCACTGTTTAAAAATAAAGGCTTGCCCCTTTAAAATAGAGATGAGATAAAAACATTTCTCAAGAGGGTTGTGAGTGTTTGGACATTTTACCCCAAAAGGCAATGAATTCAGAGTCCTTAAATATTTTTAAGACAGAGGTGGATTAATTCTTGTAGGCAATGAGGTGAAAGTTTATCAGGCTTAGGCAGTAATGTGAATGTGAGGTTACAAACAGATCAGTTATGACATTAATAAATTATAGAACAGGCTCAAAAGGGCACACAAACTGCTCCTACTGCTTGTTCCTATATTCATAAGTTTATCACACAGTTTGTGAGACACTGTTTTAATCATCTACCTTTAGCATTACATCCATTCCAGAGATTGATCCAGAAAATTATTGACATCATAGAAGTCTTAAAAAGGGTTAACTGTCATAGGGATGACATTTAAATTCACCGATCCACTGCATCGGAACATGATGGAAGAGTGACAGTGATATTTAAATACATTTTGATTCATATTCTTCATGCAACAGGCATTAAGTCTGATTCACAGAAGGTTACAGCCATCAATGCTCTCCCACCATTTTGAAATACTGTGGAATTGCAGCAAATCATAGGAATGGTTAACCAAGCAGGGACTTTTCTTTTACCAAATCTGGCAAAAGAAGATGAACTACTATAATAATTGCTTAGACAGGGTCAAGCATGGTTAAATGTGAAAGCCAGCGGTTGGCGATGGCTTCTTATTGCGTTGTCACTTTCAGTGTTTCTAGCAATCCATCCACTCCCAAATACACGTGCTCTTTGATGTTGAAACTTCCACCACGCTTTCAAGATTCTATTTTCACTTCTTCATATTACTTACAATCAGATGGTGGGTTACTATGCGTTGTATTTAAAGTTTTAGCAAAGATTCGTGCATGCGTTATATGTTAATTCAGGCTGGGCTGGTGGAGTTGATGGAGGGATTGAATAGATTGGGACGGCTGTTTTGCATTTTTTCATATTTGAGGATTTTGATATTTATGTAGGAGGCTTGTAATTTTTCTTCAATCATATGCGATTTTAGCATGTGTATCTGACACCTAGCTCCGATTGGTTGAGTTTTACACTCCTTACTGAATATAGTTATTTTATCAACGAATTTATAACTTTATTTCACTTCTTGGACAATAAATGAATAATTAAAGAAAGTAGGAAATTACATTTGTATAGTGCCTTTCATGACCTTAGGTTTTCATAAAGTGCTTTCTGGTCAACAAAACACTTTTTTAAAAGTAGTCACGAGGATATATGACATGTATTGGTAATCTGTTCAGGAGCAATGTTAATAGAAGGATAAACGCTGATCAGGCAATAGGGCAGAACGCCCCCTGTTTTTGAAAGAATTCCCTGGAGTCTTTTGGATGGAACTGAGGTTTCATAAATCAACGTTTCATTATAGCAAGATTACACCTCTGGAATTTTAGCCTCAATCTGATTTATATGGTCAAACCAAGATTTGTGCATTTCAGAAGCTTTATCAAAAATGTTTTGTTTGAATAAATGTAGTGGAAGCGGAAACCCGACAGAATGACCACTGAGTTTTTAGCGTGACGGTTCCTTCCTGTGTTAGGCATTAACAAAAATAACTTTATATAACCAGTTGTCGTCAAATAGTGTCAAACTAGGGTCGACTCATGATAGCGTGCTACATGGCAAATTGCCAAATGTGCTTTGGGCTGCGGCCAAGGGAGTGCCTTCCCTGCAGTTTTTGACGGTCTGGCCTAGAGGTCGGCTTTGGACTCCTCAACAACACTAATACCGACTTAATCTTTAGAAACAAGTGAGGCTGAACTTTCGCTGAAAAAAAGTCCGAGAAGGGCATACTCAAAGTTACTGACAGCAGCACCCGGGTGATGAAGTAAAGTTACTTTTGGAAAATCCCCGCGGACTGAAACTTCCGTAACTCGTTTCTGATTTTCACTTTGAGCGGCTAGTATTATAGTCATACCGTGACCACCGCTGACGGAAGTAACCGACTGGTTAAAGACTGGCCGTTCTCACAATCCAACCAGATGGTTTTTTCTACGATCAAACATGAAAAGCGGTCAAAATTAGAACTGTCGATTAACCATGGCGGACTCGGAACAACTGGAGGAAAACCTGAAAAAACTAATTGTTCGTCTCCAAAATGTCGAGCAAGGAAAAGAAATCAGCACTTTGCTTCAGATTTTAGACGACTTGATTCTCCTTACTACTGTTCAAAATGGTAAGTAATCGTCTAAGAAATTATATGTTTCAAAAATCCGTTATCGGAAGACAGGATGGACACATTTTGATGCACAGTGCTGATTGTTTACACCTTAAACAGCTTCGATTTTATTCGGAAATAAGAACGTCCACGTGCCGTTATTGGTGGCTCTGGAATCGTTCACCGAAATTGCCAGTATCCAACAGGTAGGCTCTTTATTTACGTCTGTTTCTATGACTGTAACGAGTGGTGCGGATTAATAGAGACAACCAAGGTGCAGAGCTGGATGAACACAGAAGGCCAAGCAGCATCATAGGAGCAGAAAGGCTGACGTTTCGGGCCTAGACCCTTCTGGAGATTAATAGTTTTATTTTCGTCCTGACTTGTTCACCAGCCAAGTTCAATGTAGAAGTGTTAAAGGAATCCATACTGTTTGTTTTTGTAGTCTAAATGAAGGAAAAGTTTCATGAAAACGGTTGGCATGTATTGATTTCCAGAACTTAAGCGACCTGAATCATACTAGCTGTCACTTGTGCATGCCGCTGGGACAAAAGTGACGCACGCCCCTTCCTCACTCGTCAACTTGTTTAAAAAGTTAGTTGCGAACTACTTTCTCTGAACATCATGTGCCTCTCAGTGGAAATTTCCCCTCATTAAAATATTCTGGACTCAACTTACATTTTAAGTACGTAAGTCACTGTTACTCCTTCACTGAGACAGGATCTGAAAATACTTAAATAGACTTGTCAGCTATATTGCAAATACCCTATATCGGACAACACTTGAACAGCGCAACATTGGCCTTTTGCAGGCTTTTGTGAGAGCTCTGCATATGCGACAACACAGATAGCAATATTAAATTGGCTTAGCCACTGTAAAACTTTTCCCTGTTGGGTTGGTCCGCAAGCTGCTTGATGCAGTTCAGTTGACAGGAACACAATAAAAGTGCAAGAAACTGTCACTGTTTATTATTTTTTAAGAAAGAAGGTTAGGTGAGAACACAATAATTTGAGGCTATCTCCAACTTTATCCTCGACTTCTGCCCTTGCATGGGAAAAGCACTGGTGGAGATTTACTCAACGACTTATTGTGGGACTAGAACCACGTATGGTCCAAACCGCATGTTGTTTCCTTTTCTGAAAGGACTTAGTGACCCATCTGGGTTTTTATATAAATTTGCTGATGTTACAATCATGTCTGTGTGCACATACCAGTAGTTATGAAGTTCAGATTGTTCCTTCCTAGTATAGGACTTGAATATTGCTGAAACAAAGTAAAAGTTGCAAAAGCTTTTTGAGCCACTCCGGAAGACAGCAAGACAAGAACACTCCATTTCAAAATGAATGACGATTTATATTGCACATGAAAGAGTTGCTTTTGGCTGGTACATCAACTCTAATCGGTCAAGGTATCCAGAAAATAATGTTCCCTGACACTTTTGAATTTTAAAAAAAAGGAAACGCTTGGTCGTCTTTTTTCCTGCAAATGAATATGTATCTTTTATCAAGCATACCTGAGCCACATTTTAAGACTGACTGATAATCTTTAAATTGGTTGCTCGCATAATTCTTAGTGCACTCGAGATTGGACAGCATTTACTGAGCAATCACTGGACCACATCCAGCATTAAACATTATCTTCTGATTTCTGCAAGCGCAGGCTAGTTGAATATGGGCAGCACTCTGTCTGTTGCAAACACTCCATGGGAGGTGCTGGAATTTCTGCTGGGAGTTCTACATTGCCATGCACTGCAAGATTGGTCCATTCAGGAATCTTGTATATGGACCCTAAACCATTTGCTCACTGTTAGAGTTTGAGGTCAAAGTAGGATGCATCAAGCCAGCCTGTGGAATAATAGCTACTCTATCAGAACATTGCTCACTGTGTAATGCACAAACTTAAGAGTAGGTCTAGTGCTATCACTTTGCGACCTGAAATAGGACAGTCTAACTCAAAGTACCTGAGAAGGATAACGAATCTCAAATATTTGAGCACCATTTCACTCTGCTGCTATGCACTTGAACTATGAATGGTGTTTTGAACAAGATGCTGTCATCAAGCCAAAGACACAGGTGAATCATGTAGTATATACACTTTGGCACCCTTATGATGCCTGGTAAGAAAGTTGTACATCCTGACAACTACCAGACTTTGCCAAGCAGGATCTGAATGTAATATGTCATCTGAAAGGTTAAAGGTAAAGTCTCCATTGTCTTTATCAGACCATATGACTGCTCTGTCATTAGAGAGAGATGACTGGTGGTGGTTTAACCTGAGGGTCACCACGCCTCAGATCAGCGGAAAAGTTGAGAAGGAGAATCCTTTGCGCAACTGAAAGGTAGCTGCTATTAAGCAAAAAAACCTTAAATATCTTTCCACATTTACCATATATTAAATATGCTGTCTCAACTCTTTTTGAATTTTAGAAATAAAAAGCCAAGTGGTCTTTTACTAGAGTGGAGTATTAGTGAAGGGAAAAAAATCCTTTGCTTGTTAACTTCTGTAGCTACTACAGATCTGTTGTACAAATTGTGCAACAGGAATCATGATGGTGGAGGTGGCAGTGAAAGAAGATTGACAAGAGAATACATTCTGGAATTCCAATCCTCAATCTTCCTACCAAGTTGTTCACTATGACTTGCCTTGTTCCCTGGAGCTGTCAGCTGTCCAAAGTCTATGATTTAAATAGAAAATCAAAGTTTATGAAGGAACAGTATCTAATACAAATTACTGCAATTTTTTAATGAAGTGAGTCAAGTTGATATCTGTCATTACCAAGGTTAAAACACAACAGGCTTTTTTTTGTTATATTTTCTTGTGACTTGTATTTAAACCACCTTGATGTATTTTTCAATGCTTAATTTTGAAAAGTAACTCATACATTCTTGTTAGAGGCTGTCCTGATAAAGAATTCAGCTCTGCTTTCAGTTAAGTTGTTAAAAACATGACATATCTGTGAGGAACAATGTCTTGGCTTATTAACTTTTCCATACTCTAATTTGCATTTTACCAAAACTCAGAAGTTTGTTATGAAATTTTCCATTTTCCAAAAAATATTGTTAAATTATTGCTTACTTTGTACTAGATAATACAAAGTGGAATTTTCTTCGCAAATGAAGCGCAAAAGAAGCATGAACAAATATGTTTATATCCGTTCTAGTAATATGATTCATTGGATATGCTTTTCCCTTTACTTCAACCAGGCAGGTTGGTCTTTATTATGTAAACTGATGGAACTCTGTCCAAACATTATTAACAAATTGACGACACCTCAGGATATGGGAAAGGACTGGGATGTCCTGGGAGTGCATCAGTAAGTATTTTCTTATTTCACTTGATGGAATGAAATGATATGAATTAATTCTAACATAATTAGACGAATTTATTTTTTCTAAAAGTAATTTGGAATTGACAAAAATAGCAGTCTGCACTACCATTCAACCAGATCAAGGCTGATCAAACTCAACTCCATCATCTCACATTATTTCCAACTTCCCCTAATTCCATTCATCCTGAAAAATCTGTTGAGCTGTGTCTTAAATTTACTGAACGACTGAGTGTCCATGGCTGTCTGACATAGCGAATCTCAAAGTTCATAACTGTTTGTGTGATGACAATTTTACTCATCTCAGTCATAATAAACACCATGTTTGAGATTCAACCATGAAGAAAAGCATCCCCTTAATGTAAAATCCCTCAAACTTTGTGTTTCACTTAGACATGTCACGTTTTCCTAAACTCTACAGATTCCCCAATGTTTTCACACATGACAATCTTCACATCCAAGAAACTTACTTGGTAAACCTTTGTTGTTCTCCCTCCAGCGAAGTATATCCTTGCTTATGCAAGAAAACTAAAACTTCTCACAATATTTCAGATGTGGCATCATCAGTCCCCTTTATAATTGTGGTAAATATTTATGCCTACACTGTATTCAAATTTGGATTTAAATGTTATTTGCTGCCTTAATCATTCCATATTAATTTTCTGTGGTTCATATGCAAGAACACCCACATACTTTTGAATGAATCATAGAATCATGCAATGACTATGACACAGAAGGAAGCTATTTGCTCTGTTGAGCTTGCATTGACTTTTTACAATACCAATTCAGCTGGTCCTACTCCCTTGCTCTGTCCTAATAACTGTATTTTTATTTTTGGGTGCTTATCCACTTCCCTTTTGAAAGACACAATTGAATCTGCATTCACCACCCTCTCAGGAGATGCATTCTAGATCTTAACTATTTGGTTCATAAAAATGTTTTCCCATGTTGCCTTTAGTTTGTTGGCAAATATAATGTTTGTCCTTTGGTTTTTAACTGCTCCATCAATAGGAACAGTTTCTCACTATCTACACTATCAAGGCCCCTCATTATTTTGTCTTGTATTTGACTTCTCAAATTTTAAATTTAATGCTGATCTTGCTCTCTGAGCAACTTCTCTCTGCAACCATAACATTGTATTCTTTGCTCTGTTCTAGTACCTCAACGCACTTTGTATGGTATGATCTGCCTGTAATGCATGCAAAACAAACTTAGGTACACGTGGCAATAATAATAGATCAAATCAAATCAAATAAAAATCAAATCTTTTAGCCTTCTCTAAGGGGAATAATCATAGCTTCTTCAATTTACCTTTGTTCCTGAACCTCCTAATCATTGGTACTATTCTCATAAGTCTTTTAGAGATGGCAGACCAGTTGAACAAATACTTTGGGTATGCCTTCACTAATAACCTTCAGGAAATGCCAGAAGATAGAGGGTCAAGCATGAAGGAGGAACTGAAGATAGTCTTTATTAGTCAGGAAATGGTTTTGGGGAAATTGATAGGATTAAAACCTGATAAGTCCCCATGGTCTGATGCTCTGCATCCCAGAGTACTTAAGGAAGTGGTCGTAGAAATAGCAGATGCATTGGTGATCACTTTTCAGCATTCTGTAGACTCTGGAATGGTTCCAATGGACTGGAGGGTAGCTAATGTAACTTCATTCTTTTAAAAAAGAAGGGAGAGTGAAAATGGGGAATTGTAGGCTGGTTAGCCTGACATTAGTGGTGGGGAAAATGCTGGAGTCAATTATTAAGGATGTAATATCTATGTATTTGGAAAGTGGTGACAGAATTGGTCCTATGTTTCGAGAATGTGACCAGTAGAGTGGACAAGGGTGATTCAGTAGATGGACTTTCAAAAGGCTTTTGACAAGGTTCCACACAAGAGATTGGTAAAGAAAATTAAAGCTCATGGTATCAGTGGTAATGGATTGGCATGGATCGAGAACTGGTTGGCAGATAGGAAGCAGAGAGTTGGAATAAATGGGTCCTTTTCAGAGTGGCAGGCAGTGACGAGTGGGGTGCTGCAGGGTTCAGTGCTGGGACCTCAGTTGTTCGCAATATACATTAACGATTTGGACGAAGGAATTGAATGCAATATCTCCAAATTTTCAGATGACACTAAACTGGGTGGCAGTGTGTACTGTGAGGAGGATGCTAAGAGGCTGCAGGGTGACTTCGACAAATACTGGCTGAGTGGGCAAATACTTGGCAAATATATAATGTGGATAAGTGTGAGGTTATAGACTTTGGTCTCAAAAACTGGAAGACAGATTATTATCTGGTGGCAATTTAAGAAAAGGTGAGGTGCAACGACACCTGGGTGTCATGGTGAAACGGTCACTGAAGATTGGCATGCAGCTGCAGCAGGCGGTGAGGAAAACTAATGGCGTGCTGGCCTTCATAGCGAGAAGCTTTGAATGTCAGAGTGAGGATGTCTTGCTACAGTTATACAGGGCCTCAGTGAGTCCACATCTTGAGTATTGTCTGCAGTTTTGGTCTCCTAGCCTGAGGAAGGACATTCTTACTATTGAGGGAGTCCAGTGAAGGTTTACCAGACTGATTCCTGAGATGGCAGGACTGGCATATGAGGAAAGACTGGATTGACTGGGCTTGTACTTGCTGGAATTTAGATGAACAGGGGGGATCTCATAGAAATGTATAAAATCCTGATGGGACTGGACAAGCTAGATGGAGGAAGAACGTTCCTGATGTTGAGGAAGTCCAGAACAGCGGTCACAGTCTAAGAATGAGGGCTAAGCCATTTACGACTGAGATGAGGAAGAATCTCTTCACTCAGAGTTGTGAACCTGTAGAATTCTCTCCCGCAGGAAGCTGTTGGGGCCAGTTCATTAGATATATTTCAGAGGGAACTGAATGTGGCCTTGTGGCTAAAGGGATCAAGGGGCAATGGAAAGAAAGTTGGAATGCGATACTGAGATTGCATGATCAGCCATGATCATATTGAACGGTGGTGCAGGATCGAAGGACTGAATGGCCTGCTCTTGCACCTATTTTCTATGTTTCTGCACCGTCTACAAAGCCTATCCATTTAGTCTAAAGTTAGGTGTCCAGAATTGGACACACTGCACTTGTTGATGGTGATCTGGTGGTGTATAAAGGTTTGCTGTAACTTCCTTCTGTTGCTGAATACGTTGAGTTACCTTGAAATCTGGCTGCAGGACAGCATGCTTCCAACTGGGACCTCCTACAGTTCTAGCAGCAGCTGTCATTCCTTGTGATGTTACTGGAACTAGAGAGTCAATCAAATGACCAGCAGCTCTCAGAGTAAAGACTTTCTGATAAGGGCTGAAATCCTGTTGTGAGTCAAATGTTACTAAGTTGCAAAAGGCCAAATTGAAGGTGGGTGTGTCCCCAGTTTTCAGTCAGTAAGTGAGGATTTTATCCCCGTATGCCTCGGTCGGATTCCTTTGTTTATTAACACTAGGCTCCTTTGTCCCTTTTTATTGTCACTTTTTCAATCTGCCCTGCCACCTTCAATGGTTTGTGCACACCTAGGGCCACAATCTCTTTGTTTCTGCACCATCATTAGAATTGTAGCCTGTAATTTATTTTGCTTCTTCTCATTCCTCCCACCAAAATATAATATCACCACATGTCTGCCCATTTCAGCAAAACGCTTGATGTTTATCATTATCCTTGTCACAGTTTGCAATACTTCCAAGTGTAGTGTTATCTGCAAATTTGGAAATTGTGGTTCCCGCACATGCAAATCTGTGCCATTAATATATATTCGGAACAGCAATACTCCTTGTACTGATCCCAATGGAATGCCACTTTATGACTTCCTGCAGTCCAGAAACAACTGCTACCATTACAGCCTATTTCCTGTTGCTAAGCCAACTTTGTATCCCTGCTGCCACTGTCCCTTTTCTTCCATGCTAATGTTTCTCAGTCTCTTCTTCATTCAAATTTATACTACATTTTTATGTTTCCTGATAAAGTGGGTAACTTCACCACATTATATTTCATCTGCAAATTTCTTGCCTGCTCACACAAGCTTGTCTTTATCATTCGGCAACTCAATTGTATCTGGCAAAACTGTGCTGGAGAATTCGCAACAGTATGGCAGGCTCATCCTTAGGGCTGTATCAAAAGTTTGCTTTCCCACCTCACTTTGTATTCCTGACAAGCATTGAGATATTACAGCGCGTTACCTCTTCAAAGTCTTTACATGGATTATAAGTAGCTGAAGCCAAAGAACTAATCCTTGTGACACCATGCTTATAGGGGTCTGCCAAACTGCAAAATTGCAGTTTATTCTTGTTCTCTGTTCTCTGACCGATAACCAATCCTCAATACTTGAGTATACTATACCCAGTTCTTGTTCTAATCCAGTTCTAATTTTGCCACAGTACTACTTATTTGAGACTTATTGAATACTTTCCAAAAATTTTTGAGGATGTAACCAGTAACAGTCTTACTAAGTATGAGTTCCCTTTTCATAAGTGTGTGTTGGCTATGACTAATCATGTTGTGATTTCGAAGTAATCTGTTACCACGTGCCTAATGATGGATTTGACCTGCTATTCACATTATGCTAACTGGCCTATAATTCCCTATATTCTCTCTCCTCATTTCATAGCAGTCTTGTGTTTGCTATGTTGCAATCCTTGGGAACTTAGGTTTTATAAGTGCTTCTATAGGTCAAAGCCAATAATTTGTTCCTACCTCCACTATCTCTGTGGCCACCTTTTTTAAAACTGTGTAGGTTGTTGATCATTTAGAATGGTGGATTTGTTACCAGTTGGTCCCATTTTGTCTTCCAAGTTCCTCATTTTTATTGCATTTTATCTTCCATGTGGAGATAGATACAGGTATTTGTTTTAACATGTCTGCCATTTCCTTATTCCCATTGAATTTTACCTGTCTCCATCTCAAATGGGTCCACATTGACCTTCACCGATCTCTTCCTGATTATTTGCTTTTGAGAAACATTTAGAATATGTTTTTATGTATCTTGATAGTTTACTATTTTTACTGTCTTTTTTCAATTCTTGTTGATTTAAGTAACTCTTTCCCCTTCTGCATATGTATGTAATGAATAGCTTTCTGTTCTTTTGTATGTGTGCACACAGATATTTATTTCCATTCATTGCTTTCACTAGTTTTTATAAAGAGCGCAAGTTTTTAAACTCTTAATGGTCTTTCATTTTTTTTGAACATTGTTGCAATTTAAAGCTGTTGATTGAGCTGATTACATCTTCTTGTCTGTGTGTGTTTATGTGACTCATGATCACTGTTGCTATTTGCTTAAGAGTATTTCATGTTATGTATTATTCTTTCCCAACACATTTCTTTGCTTTCCTGAATATGCGGCCTTTGATGGGATGTGATGCAGAGATCTCTTGTGGGCTTCCAATATGATGATTGTCCTCATATGAACTTGGGTGATGAATGTCATTACGCTATTCTTTTGAAGGGCAAGTCACAACCAAGTTTGATTCTGTTGCTAAATTTGAATGGAATAAAAACCATTCCCACTTCAAAACTGATCAAATTATAATCTCGGAAGTGACATGTCCAAGCACCTCGGTCCACCTTAAGACTGCTCTGGAGATGAGTCATTTTAGTCTTGAAACATGAACTCTGTTTCTCTCCCCACAGATGCTGCCAGACCTCTGAGCTTCTTTAGCACTCTTTTGTTTTTATTTCCGATCTCTAGCATCTGCATTGTTTTGCTTTTATTTCTTAAAGTTCGGCCAGAATTTTAGCAGCAACTTCTGGAGTTGACAGCCTGACTTTTGTATCTTCCAGCCATAGTGGATGTTGAACATTTGTAGCGCTACAACTTATTTGACTGAAGTCAGCTACCTCCGTACAGACTTTGGTGGTTTTTATTTTGGCTAAGTATTTTATCATGACTGTGAAGACTATTTTGCTATCAGGGCAGGTGGATCTTTGATGACAGTAGCAATTTAAGAACAAATGAGCAGTAGTGTCAGAAACTATTTTATATTTAAATTAAACTTTTAAAATGATTTTTCTTGCAATATTTGACAATTTTTCTTCCTCTTCATATTTTAGACAGATCCTGAAATTGTTGTTGTTTTACAATTGTCATCCCACCGTATTTCTGCTCGGCCTTAAGGCATTAATACTCCTTGTTCAATCAGGTATAGTAGATCTAGTTAATTTCTTAAAAAAAAAGTCTTAGCAATGTCACTTTTTCTTCACTACAACTTCCAACCTTTGTGGAGATAGAATCCATACTTGAAGAATTAATGTAATAGAAGCCTACAGTGCATTATCTGATTTCACACCAATGTATTTGCCGTATAATTGGGATAGCAATTATTGCAGGAAAATATAATGGAAATTCTAGGTAGCTGTCAGGCAAGTAGACTGGTATGATTTGCAGATTTTGATTTGTATCTGAGAGTTAGATTAATGATAAAATAGTATGCAGATTTGTTCTTGAATTGGGTGTTTATACTTTAGCTTGAGCAATGAACCTGTTGGTAATTTTAAGAGGTGGGAATTGGTTTTTATCTGAGACTATGTAATAGTTAAAGCACAGATCAAACTGTTTTTGATAAAATCTGTATAATTACCAGATGACATATGTTTTAAGAGTAAACACAACATCTCATGAGTTCGTTTATAATTAGCAAATCTTTCAGCAATTCATAAAAACAGGGCAGTTCTTGAAACTATACTGCCATTCAGCTAGATCATGGGTGATCTAAATATCAATTTAACTACCTGCCTTTGATCACAGCCATACTACCTGAAATAACCAAAATTATTAGGTAAGATTGAAAATTTAAATTGATTTGCTATTCACATTTCAAAATTTTGAGGTTCAGTAAGCAATGTTTGTTCATCATGCTAAATAAGAATGTGAGATCAGCATTTTTAACCTAATTGATCAGAAAAATTGAACTAAGTAAAAATCACAGTAGGTGATGCTTTGACAAGTCACAAGCCTGACTTGTAAACCTATTGAACCGTGACTGCCTGAAGCGATTCAGATTCATTCACTGATCAGGTGATTGTTACCCATTAATAATCTTTCATTGTCCATCAGGTATATGAGTACACTGGTAGATGTAATTCCCACCAGCTCAGAATTGGATAATTCAAATAAAAAGTACTGCTTTCCTTGTGTTTGTTTTAAAAATGCGTCATTATATATAGAAGAACAATACAAGGTGTCATTGGTGGAATTCAGAAGATTGTTAAACTAGTTGGTCATTATGTTCTGTACTGTTAAATTGAATGTCTGTTGTCTGTAGTGCATCTTTTTAAGGACTGTGTTATAAAGGCATTTGTTTCAATCATGTAGCTTTAGTCTTTAATTATCATTAGCCTTGATGAAAAATGAGGAAATGTTTTCCTTGAATTATTAAATAATGTTAAAAGTGAGTTTAAAATGTAATGTACCTGGATTGGATAACCATGAACTACTTTACCTTTCTTTTAATAACAGCTTATAGGCATTTATGAACACCGGAAAAATGTATGCTTGTTATTTGCATCAGCAATGTAGTGTTGCACATAAAGTTTTTGTGAAACAACAGGTTACACTGTTTGATCAGCAGCTTAGCTTGAACCTTGTTATATGAAGCCAAATGCGTTTGTGTGGACTTTCGTAATTTATTAATACATGTAGAATTTGTGAATGTTTTTTAAAGAAGACCATACTTTGCTATATTAGTTTTCTTCACAATGAATCTTTCATGCATCATTCATTTTTAGTCAATGGTTAAAAAGAAAATTGAATATTTGATTTTTGTAACTGTTATTGTATTTCCATTTTGTTACATTGATGCAGTGTTGGCAGTTAAGTTCTGTGTGACATCTTTTAAGAAAATGCTACTTTTGAAATTACATTGCAGATGAAATTTCATTATTGCTTCGAGATGATGAAACGGATGTGTTTTCTTTGGTTCTTGATGGAATGAAGAAACTTGCTGACCATTGTGGAATTCAGATGTATGGGTGTCAAGTATTGTGTGCACTTTTAGAAAAAGGTAATTCTGTTGAATATGTGCTCTAGAGTTAGTCGGAATATGAGAATTTTTTTGATAAGGGTTGAATTGAAAGACTTGTAATTCTTGTACTGTGGGTACTTCTCAAGAGGTGCGTGTTGAACAATTGGAAAAAATTTCACCTTTTTACATAATATCTGAAAGCATTTGAAGAAAAGTAATATGCTGGCAAAGTAAGTTTTCTTGCATACAGGTAAGAAATTGCAGACCTTTTGCTTTTTTATACATTTTTTGAACAGCCACAATCTATACAGGAATATCCCAATAAAGCTATTTTACAGATCTTGCATATGTCTGCAATTTACCTGCAAATTTGCTCTTCTGTCTCTTTCCCATATTTTGGTCACCTATAATCTGTACCCTGTAATGTTATTGCTCCTCTTCTGTTCCTTAATTCTGAGCAAATTGATTCCATCTTTGAACTTGCAACCCTTTTTAGTGCTGTAGCAGTATTTTTGACTAATACTGCTAGGCCCCCTCTCTTTTAGTTCCTTTGCTGTCTTTTCTGCATTGTATCTAGGAATATTAGGTGCCCATTCTTCCCCTTGTATGTGCCAGGGCTCTGCTATTGCCACGCAATCATAGTATCACATGCCTACTTGTCTATGCAGTTTACCATATCCTTAGTATTCATCCACATGCACTCCAGGTCCATCTTTAGTCTGCCTCGGATTTCACCCCTGACCAACAAATTCTGAACTATTTATTTTCATATTGTTTATCTCTTCAGTTTCTCAGTGCTTTGTTTCTTTAATGATTCATCTTGGTGCCTCACAAAGCAGCCATAGCATTTAACCTTCTTGTGAAGACATTGATCCCAACTCTGTTGAGGTACAACCATTCATTTTTTACAGCTCCCTGGCTTTTGTTCTCTATTTATTTTTGATGCCTTATTCATAATGTTCAGTTATAATTTAAGTTCCAGATGAGCAGATGGTCGAATTTGTAGAAGAGAAGGATCACTGGGTAATTTTGGAAGCCATAAAAAAATTCAGCGAACATGAAGATACAGTACTGCATGGTCTGAGAGCTCTGCTTCCTTTGGCCGGTCCACGTAAGTTGAATTGCTCAGCAAACTCTTCAGAACTGTGTATCAAATTGTATGTAAAGTGATCTTTTAAGTTGTAATTATACAAGAGTAAACAATATTCCAGCTTTATGTTTGTAAAACAAGCTAATTTGAGCTTTCAAGAGATTGTCATTTTACAATTAATGTCTAACAATTGTAAAATGAGAAAACATAGGCGAATCTTTATAGACCTGTGTCTGTTACTGGCTATGAAATGCGATATTTGAGACCATTTGTCAAGTCAATGGCCAATTACTTTGAGATGCATGCTGAAACCGTTTGATTGAGGGAAGTAAGAATTGGTTTTCATACATGCAAAATTAATAATAGATTTTTACTTTCAGAAAACAATGTAGAAATTCTGATGTCAGGAAATGAAAAATGTTACAGTCTAGTAACTGATGCAATGAAAAGATTTCCTGACAATGAGGCAATTCATGAAACTGGCTGCTGTTTACTTCAGAGGTTTACATTTGGTAAGCTAAATTCCTTTATCGTCATCTCATTATGGCTTTGATAAAAGCTATGCTTGTTGGAAAGCGCATTAATGAAGCACAATTGAGGTAATAAATAAATGGAACTTACTTTTTGTTTTCCAGATAATTTTTATAATATTTTATTACTGCATGGAGCACCTGAGGCTGTTATTAACGCAGTTCTGAAATATCCACAGAATGGTACCCTGCAGGCTGCTGCTCTCAGCAGTCTGGCCCTTTTAAGTAAGCAACATTTCAAATTAAGTAAATAAATTTAAATATATGCTTTGTTAGACTTCACCAAAACTTCAGTCACAGATATGGAGCAAAAGTTTCCTCCATTACAAATGGTCCTCAACAACCTTTGAAAGGAATTAGTTGCTCACAAGAGTTCAATAAGAAAGCTGATTTTTGAAACAGCCCCTAGAAATCATGAAGATGTTTTTGTGGAAGTTTCCCTTATTGCTTTCCCCACTGTACCTTCAGACAATTCTTTAAAAAAACCTTGATTCATTTGGCGACAGTAGGCCATCACTTGATATTTTAGTAAAGTGGCTGCATCTGGGACCTTGGAAAAGAGGAAGTCTGCCATCTTGGAACTCAGAGCACCAAATGTGGAGGGTCTAATCAAATAGTGAGATTTAATTTACAGGAATGAATTAATTATAAACAAAAATTATGATGCAGAAAAACTGTTTCAGAATAAACATAAATTAAGTAGCCAAATATTGAATCCAATGGCTGTATTAAAACAAAACCAGGAAATATATTGTAAGTTTAGCAGCATTTGTGATAAGAAAAGTAGTATTAACAGTTAAGATGCAGAAATCAGAATCTGTTGAGGGTTTGTCCTAGAAAAATCAGGCATGTTTTGTCTTTGCAAAATCTGATTGACCTGTGGATTCCTGATATTTTCCATGGTGTTTATTTTCCTCTCAGCATTAAACATGTCTGTTATTGGCCAGTTGCTACTCCGAGTGACTGATTTAGCATAACATGACATCATCAGAATAACCTTGACAATGTTTTCCTTTTTTACCACGTGCTATGCTGTTCCCTGTTAGAGTACCACAATTAATAAATTAAATTTCAATTTCTGAGTGACCAATGACAGTGCTGCAATAATAGTGTCCCTTTAGAGTGAAGAAAATTCTAATGCCTTCAATGTATCTTTGTGAAGCTGAAACGATATTTGTGAATAAGGATCTTGAAGAAAAAGAAGATGATCTGTGTTGGACAGAGGCTTCCTGTCGAGCTTTGCAAACATTCAAAGGAAATGCAAAGGTCCAGGTGAGGGATATTACTGTTTACTCCCATGAAATGCTTAACTTTCATATCATTTTTAAAAAAAATTCAGTTACTTTAAACTGCTAGGAAGTGAACCAATTTCAATATTTTGGTTTGCTAAATTTGACTGTGGAATAGTCCTGGATTTTTCTAAAGGTTTTAAATTCACTTGAAGCATTGAAAACCTGCTGAAGAAATTTTTCCTATCACGGAAGCAGAGTCAATTTTGTAAGGTCATCTTAGCTCATTTTGAAAAGTGCACTGTAAATTCTATAAAGTAAGGATACCATCTCATTTTGCCTGTGAGAAACAATAGGAGGATCTTGTAGGTACTCAGCTGAGAGTTGCTTTAGAAGTAAGGTATTGAACCTTTTATGATCATATTAATGTTTAAAGATGAAATTGGAATGTCCAGCCATTATCCAATAAAGCTACAAAGATTTTATGCATTTCCACAAAAGCAAACTTGCTGACACATTGAAAAGAATTAAACAAAGAAAACACTTCTAAATTAACACAACAATTTACAAGTATCTTAATTAGTTTTACTTTTTAATTACCCGCTTCCCCCCTCCCCCACGACCACCACCAACACCACCACCACCCAAATTCCTTTATAAATTTCAATAAACCTAAAAGTTCATTCACTTCCTTAAGGAACAACCCAAAGTATGCCGTAGCCCTTCCAAATTCACTTTGATGCTTACCAATGTTTTAGTTATCATTCGAGGTATGATATAGGGATTCTTTTAATAGTTTAGTTGGCTATGAGACCATTCATCTTTATGGATGGTGCTGCTCCTTGTTCAGGCTGTTAGCAGATACCCAACTGACTTCCCACAGCTTTCCAAGCTATGTTGGTGCTATATGGTGTGAGGACCACTGTAGATTTCTTCCACCACTGGAGCAAATCGTTCAGTTAATTTTATCTTTGAAAGTACAAAGTCAGATAGAGCCCCACCTGTATTCCATTTATTGGATGAGAAACTAGTATTTTCTCTCCTTGAAGTGCAGGCTTGATATACGTATATTTTCTTTGGTTATCCTGGCTCAGTTATCTGCAGTGTGCACCTAGACCAAAGCAGCAGCATCATTGTCTTCTCTCAAACTGCTTTACTTGCTCTCTTGTTGCTTGCTTGGGATCTGACTCTGTTTAGCCTCGCTGATAGAATCCATGGAACTTTGTGAAAGAACATATTATTTCATTTAATTGAAATACATTCTCCCAGTAGTAGGTTAGAATTTCTGCTTCCATTTAATTTTCTCTCATTAATTACGTCTTATACACTCTGTAACCACCGTTCCCGAAGTATCAGACCTCACAGGACCAGGCTCTGGTGCTTTGATCAACCTTCCTTGTCTGGTTCTAGTCTTATTCTGAAGTTCAGGATGTTCTGCACTCTTCCTTTATTTCAGTGAGTGTGACCCTCTTCTGGGTAGTTGTACAGCTTTCATGTTCCACCTGGTTCTGAGAAACGGTTTTGCCTTTCTACTGATTTCTCATTGAATGATATCAATACATTATGATTCCTTACTACCATCCAGTGATCTGTTCAACTTACAATGTTGGTTGTTGTGTTTTTGCTATGATCATTCCTGATGTTTGTTGATCTTTTATCCGTACTCTGCGTGTTTTGTGGCTCTGATAACTCTTACGCGCCGTGTCTTTTTTCAGGCCAAGTTTTCTCTTTGTGATTTCTCACATGGTTTTATTATGCAGTAGCAATTCTTCAGTGATGTTTATCTCTAATTTCTGATGCAGACATGGAATTTGAGTTCACTGACCAGCGATACCTCGAAAGGTGATAACCCTTTATGTACTGGTGATAATTTCTGTTGTAAACCAATGTGTTATTTTAAAATGACCCACTTTTCTTCAATTGTGAGTTGCATTTACATCAGGCTTGTTTTTATCAGTTTTTCAATCACGTGTCCACTTCGAATACTGGAACAAGTAGATGTGATGACATGCACTTAGTCTAATGCACTGCAGTTAGAAATAGGATCACCCTAAAGGACACAGTGTCCATTTCACTATTACTTTGGAAAAAAGGAATTTCAGGTTTTTTTTTTTTTGCTGTAATTTTTCCTATCCATGGATCCACCAAAATCATCTTGCGCAAACTGTGATTGAGCTGAAGCTAGGTTAGCATTTCAGTGGGCTGATGTATTGCCTGTTATGCATCATCCAACTAAAGAGTTAATTTCTATTTAACCAGCGACTGATTTTTTTTTTAGCTCATTCAAACTAATTTGTAGGATACAAGAAAATTGCAAGATGGAATATTTATTTTGATGTCTACTCATCTTATACTATTATGGAATGTATTCTTCTATTACAATGGAAGTGTGGGGTATTTGACAAGAAAAACTGATTATTCATTGTGGAATTTCAAGATTCTTCTCAAGTGCATTTTTTAAACTTTGGGTTTTAAAAAAAAGCATTTCTTTTTCCACAAAGCAATTGAAAGAAGAGCTTGTGTAGGTCTTGTTATAGACATTCTCTTTCCCCTTCCTCACAAAATGCACCAAAAAGTACTCGGGTACTTGTGGAACCTCTGCAGCCAATGTGTCAAAATTTAAAGTATTTGTAAATCTCTTGCTTTATGAGGCTGGCATTTCAATACCAACCAGTTACAATTATGAATCCTCAATCATTGCTTCCGAAGTCATAATTACACTGCATAACCATGAATAGTTGTGCTATACTGATGTATTCTGAGTATTCTTTCATTTGCAAATTTAAGTATTAAGATGTGAATTTCTCAAATAATACTAATGAAGGATATACGTGGAAAATTGGATAATTTACAAAGTGCAACACAATATAAGTAACCTGATGTATGGCAGCTGTGAATGAAAGGTTTGTTTCATGTCAACTGCTGTTCCTAAGCCTGTATGTTGTACAACAGAGATTTAATTTTCTAACTTTACATTTAGTTTTTCATCGTAGTGTATAAAATGATACATGTTGTCAAATTAGACTGGCAATATTATAAATTTCCAAGAATACATTAATGGAGATGCACCTGACATAGATGGTTCAGAGAGTCATTACAGTCATCATCATGAGGATCAAAGTTGCTGCCAGTTTTGTTGGAGAGAAAATATATAGTTCTAATGAATTGAAAACGTAAGATACTAGTCTGCAAAGCATATAGAACAAAGATCAACACGGAAGTGATCACTTGATATGCAATGTTCTTCTTTCAGGAAGCAGCTTGTTGGGCACTATACTATCTACTTCTGTATCAGAATGATCTTCATACAAAGTTTGAAGATGAAGAAGCATGGTACTGACATTTAGTTTGTTTTAAGATGTGCTTAGCTGTGACTTCAGTGTACATGTAACTTAAATGTGTTTTGAAATGTTAGTTCTTACTTGTATAATTCTGATAAGAATGTGTGAAAGAAATATCTTATTGTACTGCAGCTATCCAGTTCACAGACTGGTGATGACAGCGATGTTATTACATTCCAATTCAAAGGAAGTGTTTCTAGCAGCGGCAAATGTTCTGGCAACTTTGGCCGACAAAAGTGGTGAGTTAAAAATGAAAAAGCATCCAAGAAAATAATAAAGCAAGCAGTTTTTTGTTTTTGACAATGTTTTGTTGAATTTTGTTTAACAGTACAAATCAGAAGGCTTCTCTTGGCAAAAGGGATACATATCAACATTCTAGACCTTATGAAAAAACATTCAGACTCTTATGATGTCCTGGAAAGTGCCTGCAAATTCCTTAATAAACTGTTTCTCGGAAGGTAAATGTTTATCTTTGGTTTTTTTTCCAGATAGCAAAATATTTTTTAGAACTATTGACATTTCAGCACAGATTTACCTTGCAGTGTCCAGATATTGGGTTCACAAGCATATGCAGTTAGGTCACACATCAGCCATGATCTCAATGAATGGTGGAACAGGCTCAGAGGTGAATGGCCTACTCTCCTTCCTACATTCCTATAAAATAGAAAATGCTGGAGATACTGATTCGGTGAGGCAGCATCTATGAACCAGAGTTAATGTTTCAAATCAATTACTTTTAATCAGAACCACTGTTATAAATGTGAGGTTTTAAAACATTGTTATATTTTTGAGAATCTGCGTAATTTAGAACAAAATGAAGGGGACCATGTGACCTGCTCTGTAGTCTGTCTGACGATGGATCTGGTGAGGGCTGTTGGAAGAATAAAGCAAAGCCCAGATTATTCTGCTGGGCAGAAGGTGTAAGGTGTCCATACTGGAAAATAATGGCAGCAGCATCTTTAGTTACAGTGATCATATTGTTTGTCTTCAAAGTCCAAGGAATTGGTTGAGAATGTCAGGTTCTAAGAGTTATACTTAATACCAAAATATATATAGAATATATTTGGAGGCCAAAGAATAGCCATTTAACATTTATACCTGGATACAAAGCCCATATAATTCATGTTATCATGGATAAGTAGTTTATAGAAGAGTTTCTAAAACATCCCTGAAAACTCTGCCACATAGGCCGGGATCCGAGAGAGGAACCTGCTAGAATCTGAAAGTTTCAGTGGTTCAGCACAGAGGAATGTGGGTGGGAGCTCATGCTTGATTGAAAATAAGATTCTAAAGATTTGAAAAGGCTGGAGAACTTGCCTCGGTCTGTTTGAGGGAGTATCCCTAGGAAAGAAAAATGAATGTGAAAGACAGTTTTAGGGTTACCATTTTCCAGAGTGACAAACAAAAGGAATGAAAGTAAACTGATGGGAACTGAGAATAACTTCAGACCAGGTCCAAAAAACATGAATTGGTACGTAGGGGACAATATAAAGTACATATGTGAAGTGGATTTTAAAATTTTTTTCAAGTAAAAAGGAGAAATTTGATCTGTGCCTTTAGAATGAGTCGCTCGCAAAAAGAGATTGTGTTTGGTCATTGATCTATTTTGCTTTCAGTCTGTTACAGTAAAATTCTTAAAGCAGGAAATCTTGCATCATCTGTTTCACTGTCACCTGGACATTTAGAATACTTTCTAAAAGGTGATCAATCTCTACAGCGGTCATAACAGTTTTTTTGAAATGTCATCAACTTACAAAGCAATTAGGAGCAGAAGTAGGCCCTTTGAGTCTGCTCTGCCATACAATATGATCATGGCTGATCGTGCAACTCAGTACTCTGTTCTCAGTTTTTCCCTATACCCTTTGATTCCTTTAGCGATAAGAACTATATATGTCTCTCCCTTGAAAACGTTCAATATTTTGGCCTCAACAGCATTCTGTGGCAGAGAATTCCACAGGCTGACAATTCTCTGGATGAAGAAATTTCTCCTTATCTCAGTCCTAAATGGTCTACTGCACGAATTTGTGACCCCTGGTTCTGGACTCCCCAGTCATCGGGAACCTCCCTTCAGTATTTACCCATCTCATCCTGTTAGAATTTGATACGGTTCTAGGAGCTGTCTAAACGGTCTTCTAAACTCCAGTGAATATAGTCTTTGCTGATCCAGACTCTCTTCAAATGTCATTCCAGCGATCCCAGGAATCAGGCTGGTAAACCTTCATTGCACTCCCTCCTGAGCCACGACATCCTTCCCCTGATAAGGAGACCAAAACTGAGCATGGTACTTCAAGTGTGGTCTCACCGAAGCTCTTTACAAGGACACCCAGGTCCCGTTTCTCAACCTATCACCATTCAGATAATAATCAACCTCCATATTTTTGTCACCATAGAGGATAACGTCACATTTATCCATGTTGTACTTCACCTGCCATGTAGTTGCTTAACTTGTCCAAGTCACACTGAAGCATCTCAGCATCCTCCCAATAGCTCACCCAACTTTGAGTTGTCTACAAACGTGTGAAATTACATTTAGTTCCCTCATCTAAATCATTAATATTATCCTATGAATAGCTAGGGTCCAGGCACTGATCTCTGCAGTATACCATTTGTCACTGTTTGCCCCACTCGGGAAAATACCCGTTTATTCCTATTTTGTGGTTCCTGTCTGCCAACAGTCTTTAATTGTTAACCGCTGATCTCTTAGTAGATGCTGCCTGACTTGCCGAGTACTTCCAGCATTTCTGTTTCTATTTAAGATTTCCAATATCTGCTTTATTTTCCTTTTATTTGGTATCTTTTTGTTTTCCCATTCTCCTCTAGAGGAATAATTTAACCTCCAATAGCAACATTGCTGAAATTCAAAACTTGATATAAGATATTATAAATACAAGCCTACTTTCTACCATTCCAAGATCCTGGGTAATCGTACTTTATTATTGTAAGTTCAGTTTTTCTACTTATATTTGTGGCCAATGGAAAAGATGGGGCAGAAACCTTATGATTTTATTCTTCTTACCCAGTTAGAAACTGCAGTAATTAGAATAGTGAGGTTCTTGTGTTTACTTTCTCAGTTTGTTGGTCACCACATTATTCTGTTTCCCTTTTGGCATTACTAAGATCATGAATGCATTGGTGATGAAGTTCTCTTTTTGGTGCTCACTCTAAATTGAGGAAATATTGTACACTGATAAGAAATTATTGCACAAATGTGGTTCAGTTGCAAAAACATTGCAAAGCTTGGCGTTTCAGGAACACTTTGTGATAAACTCTTAGTTGTGGGGAAGAAATAAAATGGTATCAGTTTTTGTTACTGCTGTTGCAAGAATACTGCTAGTGTCATGATGCCTCATAGCAGCCTTGTTCCAGTTTGCCATATTTCACACTGGATCTGCATTTTTTTTTATGGGATGTGCAGTAGAAAGTAGAATCCTGAGAGAGTTGGTGTGTTTGTTGACATTTCATTAATCATGTCACTGACTTCAAGCAATGAAGCAGTTAATATTTTTATATCTCTACTATGAGAGCTTGCCACTTGTCTGCACCATCACGCTTTGTTAAAGATGCAAAGTAATCATAGAGAAAAGAAAGAAGTTGCTTTGTAAGAGCTGTACTGATCGTGGATTTATCCATGTTGTCCATGCTGTCCAACTGATGAAGCAGGCAATCTTTTCTAATCAGTCGTCCTCTGATTACCTCAGGATCTATTTGCAGACATTAGACATTGTGCCCTTAAATATACACCACTCTTTATGAGAACTGGTATACTATTAGCAGAATATCTGCTAATAAAATATTTGTTATGCTAATAAAAATGGAATTTGGAATGTTTTTAAAAAGTTGAATTTTGCAAATGTTT